ATATATATATATATAATAATTAATGATTTTTTGTGTGAGGATACTTATTTTTTATATTTTTTAAAAAATTACACACACACATATATACATACTATGAAGATAATTGTAATTGTTCTTTGATATGCTAAATTTAATTTTTTTTAAAACATAAAAAATAAGTATCCTCACACAAAAAATCATTAATTATTAAAAAAAATTGATCAAACTCATGACCCTTTAAAAAAAGTCCATAAACCTGGAATTGCATGCTTGAATTTTTTTAAAACAAAAAGAAATAGAACATATAATGTTTGTAGTAGTAGACGATGCATCGTGACATTTCTTAGAATCCAACCATAACATAAATGGTTTAAAAATCAGAGTTTTTCTAACCTTAAAATTTATTTTTTAATCTATTTTTATCTAAAAAGATCTAATAGAATCTCTTAAAATATCATAAAATCAATTTATCAACCTAAAACACTAAAAAAACAGTTCAAAAATATAAAATCAAACTAGAAAAGAAATTTTTTCTCAATCTTGATTTATTTTTTAAGACAAAATGAAGGATTAAAAAGATCTTAATGGACTTCTATTGTCAAATGGGACTCATTAACATCAAAATTATTATTTTTTATTGTTGAAATTTGGTTAACCAACAACTTTCTCTCTCCTTCACAATTTTTATAGTGACTCTCTCCCTCTCTCTTCTATCTCAAACTCAAGAACTTCAATGAATATAAAATAAAATTTTGAACTAAAACATATAAATGTTAAATTAATGAGGCCAAAAAGAAAATTTGAAAAAATCTTATGACCAAATCTCTTAAAAACCTGGAACACATTTGTTTTTTTAAAAAAGAGCTTGCCATTTTACTTCTTCAATTTTGGTTTTGAATTCTTAATCTCTTGCAAACAATAAATCTATTTCTTTTTTAGTCATACAAAATGTTATTACACTATCACTTATGATAAAAAAATTAATCAAAAAATAATGATTTTAGGTACTCAAATAAAAATATTAAAATTTAAGAACTAGAAGTTCAAAATAATCCAAAATTTAGGATAGTTTTTATCTTTTTGGTTTTGGTTTTGTTTTTTGTTTTTTCTTGTTCCTTTAACTTAATTGGTATACAAAATTAATGATATGAACCACATGATCATGTAGTTACATAAACCACGTGTAAAAAAAAAATCATAAAAAACAAAAGAATTATATTTGATAGGAGTGTGACATAGAGATTACCTGAATCAAAAACCAATACTATTAGAATGAGCCTTTACCTAATGAATATCAATTCATGAATGAAAAATATAAGAAAAATGTTAAAATCAGTTGTACCTTAATAAATTAAATTTGATCCTTATCCTAACAAAAAAAAAATTTTGCATCACATAAAACACAAGTTTATTTAAAACATTATAGCTAAAGGCTCCATCTTCTTCTCCCACTTCAAATATGTTTCAGGATTGTTTTTCCATTAAAACAAAATAATTTCCATCCTAGTATTACTCGAACTTCTATCTATCCCATCATGATACCTAAAATTACCCAAATCATCTCCTTAGTTGAATTGTCTATTTCTCTTTCTCCTCTATACCTATAGTTTCTAGGCTTTTCAAATTGATTTTCATGACTTCAAAGCATACTATCATAATTCTTATCACTAATCATATCAAAATCATCATTATTATAAAAACTAACATGCCTTTAACGTCTCCTAACAATATTTCTACTCTGACCAACCCTATTTCTCAAACTATCAATTTCTATATCACATCTCTTCCTTCTCTCCATCTTATACTCAAAATTCCATATCACTATGTCTAACCTTTTCATTTTTTGTTGGTGTTATCCTACATCTTCAGATCTACAAGATATTTTAGTGATAAAGAAAGAATTATTTCTACATTCACTCCCTCACGTGTTTACACTCATCTTATATTTCACTCAATTGGATTTTTCACTTTAAAATTCAACACAACCAAAAGTAATGTAATCCAAATATATGTAGTAACTTAAAAAGTAAGAAATATATGAAAACAAGTAAATACAAAACTACAATTATAATTTTAGAAATAGCGAGTGAATTCTTATGAGATATGAATGTTTTTAGGACACGAAAAAAAAATTCAAAAGAATATATTATGAAAATGATTTGATTAACACCCAAGTATCTCAAATAACACTTTAGTATACTACCTAAATCAATTATAATAGTAACAAAACAAGTTTCAATAGTTGTTGCGAATTAGACGGTGTTTAAATGATCTTAAATTTTATATATAGTGTGATTAGAGTCAAAATAACTAGAATATCAATTGTCAAGTAATTCCGATGTGGTCCAATTTCATCTTGTTTGATTTTTTGCAATAGAATCTATATCTTTGTTTGAATGACTTTTTTTCGTTTGATATTTTAGGTTATTGATATATGCAATGATAAAAATAAAATAAATTATTTTTTTAGTAAGAGTAGTTATTGCCAGAGAAATAGATGAAGATTGAAAATATTGAGTTTCAACCTGTGAAATAAGAAAAACAAAAAATACAAAAGAATATAATCTAATAAATGGAACCAAGCTAATGTGAACCCTGTAATTATATGGTTACATAACTAAACATACAAGTGGCAACATGGGATAGTAAAAGAAGACAAAAAAAAAAAAATCTCAATAATGCTTGTACAATGTTTTTTATATTACAGCTCCTAACAATCTTGAGCGTAACTTATTTTGGTGGGAGGCAATCACCTATTTAAATTTAGAAATTATGGAGACTCAGTGGTTCCATAATATTACACTACTAAAAAAGTTGACAATTCCTCAAGAACAACCAACAATTATTGTCTAGATGTCACTATACTTGAAAATGTTTATGGGTGGATGTTGATGGAATAAAGCAATGGACTGACAAAACTTGAAATAAATTGCCAAAACCAACTATAAGCAGAGATAATGAAGAGAAACATCCCTTACGGAAGAACATACAAGAGACCAAAAAGAAAGAGACAAAATTATTATTATTATTATTATTGCAGTCAAGGAGACTAGAGAGCAGACCTGCTTGGCTGTGCAACTCCAAGAAATCCTCCTTGCAATGAGAGGAAATATTAAACGGACGTTGTGTCACCAATGAAACAGATCGTGTAACCTTTATCAAGAAACCCAAAAAATTGAAGAGAATTTTAAGAATTTGCACCTAACAGTATAAAAATATCAGCACATGCACGGGAGGTTTGATGATCAAGCCTAGAATCCAATTCCATTGAGAGAAAAAAATACAAATAACATACACAGAACGTACACAAATGCTAGAAAATAAAGAGATAAGATGCCCTGCAGAAACCCAAAAGAAGAGTTGCAGAACCCATCACAACAAAATCCAATGAAAAAACACAGAAGCAAAGCACAATGAAGATATAAGGAGAAGAAGTGCCTTGTCTGCTGGGGCTGGGAACAACAAAATCCAACGAAAAATGATAGGAGAAAAGAATCCAAATCAAGCAGTCATCCATAATCAAACAATAGGAAAGATGGCGAACAAAGGGGAAAAAAGGAAATAAGATGAAAACGTGTTCTACAAAGGGAGGAGTACGTATAATTTAAGAGAAGGAAGCCCGCCAGATAAACTCCATCGATTTTGTGAATAATTATGGATGAGTGGTGAGAAAGGACGCCCAATTTGGAATAGAAACACAAATATCAAAGAAGATGTATTTATAAAAGTAGAAAGGGAAAACCTAAAGCAACCACAACAATAGTAATGGACTCACTTGGTTTGAACCAAAGAAGGTTTCGATTTGTGTGTCAAAACCCTGTAGATAGAACAGCAGAAACTCAGTTAAGAACAAAATTTCAGATGCTCCAACAAAGCAAAAAAGAAAGGAAGAAAAAATATATCAATCAAGCCAAAGGCACCAAAGCAACATCTCAAAAGGAAGCACTCACACAAAGACATTGCCCAGCAGAGTTCCTTCCATCAATCACTCCCGCAAACAACGTGCGATGAACATGCATGTCCTTTTGTAAGAACAATTTGAAACCTAAAAAGGATCAAAGTCTCAGCACACAGTACCAAGCATGAAACTCAACAAATATCTTCACAAAAAAAAAAAAAAAAAAACATCTCTCAAAATCTTCGTAAAACACGCCTTACAAGAAGAGAAAAAGACAGTCTAAACCAATCAAAACCCGAAAAAAAGAAACTGAAGTCTGAGCATGCAACAAGCTTAGAATCGAGCAAACATCTTAAAAAAATAAATAAATAAAAATAAACTTCTCTTCATATCTTCGTCAAGCACCTAACATGCAAAAGACTAAAAAGGTAGATCAAACAAACCAAACCCCTTAACTAACCCAATAATCTGCTTCCAGACGTGCATAATAGTGCAACACGATGCCCAATCTCTCTTAAAAAAAGAGAGGATTAAACATAATGCACCTTGTTACCCAACACCAAACGAGGGACCTAGACTCCACCACCCTCCCCCTACAATATAAAAATGGAAAAGATGAATAGTTTTCCAACAGACAGCATTTGTATCTGCGTCATACAACATAGTTCATACTCACTCAAGAGGAATAATCAAAAGTACTGCTGAAGCAAAACTTGCCGGTCTTTCATGGAGGAAGAATTCGCAAAAAATGCAGAGGCTAAGCAAGTAAAGAAGCGAGGACCCCGTCCTCTCATCGTAGCACAGTCACAGGCTAAAAAGGTTCGTATCCGTATGCCCGCCATCTGTAGCCCTGCCATTTACCGCATCAAAGATGAACTGGGTCTCAGCTCCTGCGATGAAGCCATTCATTGGCTCGTCCGCCATGTCCGGCCCGATCTTATTCCCGTCCCCGAGACACCCACTAAAAAAAAATCGTCCAAGAATGGTCCCATTCCCAAAACGGGCTCCGTTGATCATGACTCGGTTCCAAAACCCGCTTGCAGGGCGAGCCCAGATGCTGATATTCCTGCTTATGATTTTCTCCCAACCACAGGTGGTGTTCCCGCAGCAAGGTCTCCGGTGAAGGCAACGGTGGTTCAGGCTTCGACAGTGTTTTTTGACACTCCGGCAACATTGGGTACCTGGAGCTGTCGTTTTTTGAGTTTCACAATATTGTGTCTTTTATGTTGAACAATGTTTTCACATTGTCTTTCTTTTTATTTTGTGATTTGATAAAGAATGATTTGTTTTTTGTTTGTAACTCTCTTTCCTTCTTTTTTTCTTGGATAAGCAGAAAAGGCAGAGAGATTGATTGCTGGTGCGGCTGCATATGGGTCACAATTACTTGTGTTTCCAGAGGCATTTGTAGGTGGTTATCCTACGTGTGTGAAGCTTGATGCTACAAATTCACCTGAAACAGATGGTGATTTGCAGAAGTACTATGCCTCAGCTATTGATGTGCCTGGTAAGAGCCCCTTTTGATCACAAAGCCCTTTACTTTCTGTAATTTCTGCCAATCTGTGCCTTACTGCCAGCCAACTACTTTTTCTAGCAGAACAAGAACTTAGTTATAGGACACAATGGTGTTTTCTTGTCATGCTCCAGAAATTGTTTAACATAAGTGGAAAAGGAAATAAAAAAATAGCTGGGTTGATTGTTGATTGTTGATCATGTCATTGCGATTTGATTTTTTTTTTTTTTTAGTGTTGAATTGAGGCAGCTGCCGAAGCTGAAAACAAGCTGACCTAATAAATAGTCAAGCTTCTAGGTTTTGAGCTGATAATTCTGTTTCTTCATTTTGTTTGGACATGCGGATTAGCAGGTCCTGAAGTTGACAGACTTGCAAAATTTGCTGGTAAATATAAAGTCCACTTAGTAATGGGAGTGGTGGAGAGAGCTGGATGTTATCTCTATAGTACAATGCTGTTCTTTGATTCCCTGGGAAAGTGTCTTGGACAGCACCGCAAGCTAATACAAACGGCATCAGAAAGTGCACTGTGGCGTTCTGGAGAGAAATCCACACTGCCAACATATGAGACCTCAATTGGAAAAATTGGTGGCCTCATCTGTTGGGACAATAGATTGCCACTTCTGAGAACAGAGTTATATGATAAAGGTACTCCTTTTTACTTCTCCTGTTATTTAGTATTGGAGCATCCATTTCTTTCTTCGTTACAAAGTTGACAAATTGCTTTCTATACTTTGCCACTCAATCATTTTTTTATGCCTTTTCCCTTCCAATTGGATCTCTTCAATCTTTCATTAAACCTGTTTTGTACCATAAATATAGGTGTGGAAATATATTGTGCACCCACAGCTGATGCAGGAGAATTATGGAGAGCATCAATGACCCACATTGCCTTGGAAGGTAGTTGCTTTGTGCTTTCTGCAAATCAATTTTGCAGGAGGAGAGATTATTATCCTTTGCCACCTGGAGATATAAATGGTGATGCATCCTTAGATGACATCACATGCGCTGGAGGTAGTGTTATCATTTCACCATCAGGGACCATCCTGGCCAGTCCTGATTACCAAGGAGAATGCCTTATCTCAGCTGATCTAGGTATTGATTCATTTCACTTAGTGTTTATCTAAATAATTGTTTAATTGGTCCCGAAATTTAAATGTTAGCACCTCTGTTCCTGTAACAGGTCTTAGACCTGATTTTATGTTGAACTGATTAGCCAAAATATGATCTTCTCTTTCTTGCCATGTTTTACGGAACTCTAATCATTATCTTCAATCCACTATTGCAGACCTTGGACATATCATTCTAGCAAAGACACAATATGGCGGAATTGAGAGTGATGTCGATAAGAACCATGTCAGTGTGGCTGCAAACGGATCAGAACCCAGTTTGTCTGCAGCAGAAATGAACACTAAAGCTCTTGAAGAGCTTTGAGGGTGACGTAGCAGTGAAGAACATGTTAGTTCTAGAACAACCTTTCCTAGTCTTGCTAATGGGAATGACTAGAATTTGCTTATTACCAGTTTTCCATGGGTACTCGGTGCCGACCTAAATAACTAGGTTCAGAGAAACTGAATGTGTGGTGTCATAGCCTTTCTGGGCAATTTTGATGCACAGGGTAGGTCCCAGGTTAAATTAGAATGTAACGTTTGGCCAAATACACTTGGCGCAATGTGATGAAAAGTTGCTAATATTGATTTGAATGGTTTGATCATGATTTAAAAATATAAAAAAGTTAATTATAAAAAATTATAAAAAACATAGTCAGCCATGTTTCCGAACAAACTCATAACAGATAATCATCAAACAGCTGAATCTAGAAAGAGTTGATTCATGATGAATGCCCCGAGGACACGAAAGCTGTTTGGGAGAGGCGTGATTTTCCTGGACTCTACCCATCCTGTGTCTGCTTTTTATTCTGATAACCGAACTTCATGATTACCTGGCTACTTTCTGCCTCAAAATTTAACAGAACTCACCGCTCTTGGCTCTGATTTGACGCCAAATAAAGTCAATTCATGCTTTAGCAGGTGCAAAGTGATCACGTACATGCATCATAATTTAAGCTGACGCCATACAAATTCCATGCCGATCTCTTCCAAAGTTCCTCGCAAGAAAGTGTATTCAGGGCCATGCAAATTCTTAATAACATGAGAGGCTGGTTTAATTTCAGAAATGGTCAAGGCAGGTGAAGACGCTGCCGAGGACAAAAAGAAAACAAAGGTTACATATCAGCAACTATATTTGATGCTTCTGGCATGTCGAGATACGTTATGCCAGAAGTTTTTGTACGAGTCACTTGGCCAAATGACAACCATCGTTTTTTTCCAAAAAGAACTCTATAGGCACAAGCATTCTTAAAAATTGACAATAGTTCAGTGAATGTTGAGCAGCGATTGCTGCAACTTCAGTGATTCTAGAACGGCAAGCGGAGGATTAATTCTCACTATAATATTCTTCTTGCATCCGGTATCTAACCAGCCTTGCATGAAAACTACTCTGCATAGCTCACCATTTGGATTTTCTTAAATTCACGCCTTCAGCTTTGGCATCTGATAGCCTTGACTTCGAAACATTCCCTGGTATCACCGGAGGTCTCTCTTGAGCTAGATTGGGCTCTCGTGAGGACCGCAGCTGCCCTACTTGTCGCATGGGACTAGCATACCCCCTTGGAGAATCTAACCTAGAAACAGACAACAAGTAGTCCCTAAGACCCTTCATTGATTGATGTCCATGCATTTCATCTCCATAACCTTTTCCTTGCCCTTGCCTCTCCAGTTCAGAAAACCTCCCCCAATCTATCCCGTCTCCTGGAAATGGGACCCTCTCATTTTGGATGCCCCATTCCACTCCATCTGACACACTTCTTTGCAGAGAACTGCTTCTCCGGGGTAATTTGCTAGAGGTAGAATTCCTCCCTTTGATGTCTTCTTCATCCATTGCTGCCTTTCTCAAATCACGGGGTGTTCCAGAAGGGTAAGTCCACTTGTAGCTTTTGTTATTGTTATCCATATTCAATTCTATAGAATGAAGATCACTTTCGGCAGAGCCTTCTTCGCATACTACCCTATCATCTACTTCTCCATCCTCCTCATTTACTTCACTCCGATGGGAGACAAAACGATTTTTACTCAAGCAAGCATCTATCTCTTCATCATTTATATGACTAGAACAGCGCCCTTTTTCTTTATTTCTTTTGGTTCCAAGAAAAGCTTCAAGCTGATTCCGAAGTTTATCAACAGCTGCATTTTTCTCCTCAAGCTGATATTTAGCTTCTGAAAGTTTCATGTGGACTCTCTCCTCACGCAACACATCAGCTAACTGCATCATCTCCCTTTCCTTTTCAACCTCTTCACAAAGTTTTGCAGATTCCCTCTTCAGTTCTTCAACTTCAGCTTTATCATCACCAAAATCCCTGGCTAGTTCATCACATACTTGCTCCATTACAGCTCTTGCTCTCTTCTCACTTTCAAGCTCTTTCACTGCCTTCAATAGAGATGCCTTAGTCTCAGCCAGTTCCTTCCCTAGCTTCTTGTTCAAGCTCTCAAACCGTCTCCTCAGCTTCTTCTCTACATCGAGTTCTCCTGCAATGGACTCAATAGCAGCTTCAACCACCTTCTGCTCCTTGTTTTTCCATGCTGCCTTTTCTTCAGCAAAGCACTTCATTAGATAGTTTATCTCATTCTGGTCAGAGCGCTGTTCTTGGATAAGGTGGTTGACCTGCAAACGAGCCCTCTCGAGCTCAGCATGTAAGGCGGAGATGAGAGACATGCTTGATGAGGGCCTATCTTCATTGCCCCATACACGGTTGATAATTTTAAGCAGTTCCTTTGATGTAGTCAGAGCATTACTAACATCCTTCAGACGAGGTTTGACTCCAACAGTAGATCCACTAGGAGTTTGGGCTCGAGATCTAGTCTCAATCTGCATCATTAGAGAAATGGTAACTGCAATTTCCTTGCTGTTGTGTTTTAATACAAGAAACCTTTAAAACTGTACAATGCATGGGAAGACTAGTGATAAATTAAAAATCTCAAAATTTGTTTAAGAAAGAAAAGTAAGAGACACAACTCATCATCTATTTGTAGGATATGACATGAATAGATTACATGCCCAACATAGAAAATTACATAACAAGATTCCAATTCAAACTACTGGAAAGTATAATTCCTGACCCGAAAAAACAGTAAAAGCATGCACTCTTGCTTTCCAAGACACATTATAACATCTCTAAAGGACTGGCATTATTAATTGGGCGTACCTCCATTAAACTGGCATTGCTAACAGAATCAAATGCTCCAATGCTCTGGTCCATAAGCCTAAGCCTCTGAGAAATCGATGATGTTCTTCTATGGCGGCTGCCAGTTCCAGAACGATCAATTCTCTGCAAAACGATGATTTCAAACAACAGCACCACATTTAAGCAAAACTAGCTTGGATATAGAGGCAGCAGCTTCAAGGCCTTCAAATCTCCATATCAGTTCCAGTTGTTTGCTCTATATTTAGATGTTACTCAACGTTTGAAATTATAAAGCCACAATTCAAAAGTAATGCAAGATTTCAATTTGAGAAAGCTAAAACAGATAAAACAAATGACAAACTGCAAAACACCATCAGCATTCTACTAAAATTCTTATTTTCATCCACAACCAATATAAACAACTAACTTTTCAAACAAAGAAGATTCAATCATTGTTATATTAAGAAATATACAATTAGCCAATACCAAACATAAAGCTTTTCATTAACTAGAGAGACCCACAATACCAAACCTAATATAATCACCACTCACCTTAGAGAAACCAAGCTAACACATGGCTTAAGATTCCAAGGCTCAAACCTTTTCAAATCCCCCCACTTTTCTTACCTAACAATCAAATTCCACTTAAGCAAATTCTTAAAAAAAACCCCAAACAAATCCAATTTTCCTTTTTTTTCCTTCTTCCACAAAATTCTGCTTAATCAAAAGCAACATATATAAGAAACCAAGAATAAAACTTTCGACTAACATCCCATCAACAAAACATGAAAAAAGCAATCAATAACAACGTTTAAACGTATAATCAAACAAAAACTCACCTCAGAAACAGGACTATGAGAAGGATCAGACAAATGAGGAGGCAAAGAACCTGAATGCACCGACCTCCTCTCTCTACCTCTACCCTCTTTCCTCAACCTCCTCTCCTCCACCATTTCCTCCTTCATTTTTGGCGACGGCATCTCATTCATCTCCCAGAGGGTAGCAGCCAGCTTCCTCGCTGACACTGGCGCATGCTGCTGCTTTCCCTTTCCATTTAGTGACTTTGGTGAGGAATCTATGGCCCTCAGTGCAGATGATGGGGTCCTCTTCCCCATCAACTTCCATGTGGGCACTGGTGTACTGGATCCACCCCTCTTACCTACCAAAATTGCTCTCTTGAATCTGTAGTTTTGAATTATTGATGAGGATGATGATGCTGACGAGGAACACCCTCTTTTTCTTATCTTGCCAGGCAGCAATTCCTCCATTGTGGCACTTCCTTTTTGCCTTAGCATTATCAAATGCTCCCCTTATAGATCTCACTCACCAAGTTGCAATAACAGGAAGAAAAATATTTGAAGAGTCAATAGAAGTAAAGAGCTTGACACTTCATTAGGTGATTGGTAGCTAAAAAAGTTCAAGATTTTGAACTTGGGCTCTTTACAAGGGAGCTAAAAAAAGGTAGAATTAAGCAACGAATTGCCGTTCTGGTTCATTAGTCTTTGGATGGCCTAATGACAATGATAAAGATTTGAAATTGAATGAATCAAGAGTTTTTGAAAGGGTGAAAAATGAACAGAGAGAGAGAGATTTGAATTGGGAAATGGGAAAGAATGAGAGGATGTGAGAGAGAGCTTTGAGGAGGAAAAAAAAGAGAGCTTTCTTTTTCTTTTTTGTCTTGATGACTTGCACTATTACTACTCCTTGCTTGTGTACTTTTGAGATTTTTGATCGATACAGACAGCATACCAAGTACCCTTGTGGTGGTGTAAAGTGACAGAGAAGGAGAAACTATATGGACCAATTGTAACTTCGTCCTTGTATTGTTAGAAATTAATATCTTAGTTTCTCTTGTTCCATATCCAATCCATGTTTGTTTACAATCTTGATCCTTTGTTGATTAGATTATCCGTCTTCGAGGCAATGAGCTTGTCCTTACTGCACCAATAAAACTTACATCAGAAGCGATAAGACAAGAAATGGAGATTGGATACATATCATCATCCTGATTTTCTCCTAGCTATGGCTGTTTGTCGGTATGATTAGACACATTCAGGGGAGTGTTAGAGACTAAAGAGCTAAAACTAGCGCACCTGTCAAGAATATTTAATTTCAGCAATATCTCCAAACTCATCGAGTCATATAATAGGGTTCTTAAGAGCATAGATCACACCATCGAACATTTTGATTCATACAGCCTGTGTTCACTGCCAATCTAACACCATAAAAAACAACCATTTTCAGAGGAACAACCGTCTTCGCCACTTTTCTGCCATCCAACTCACCTTAATGACAGCATGATACTGAACGCCGTCTACAAGCCTAGAGAAGAGATCTCAACCGCCCGGCAGCACTCCTAGAAACAGTTGTGGCATAGGTGTGTTTTCGAATAAGAATTCTTGTAACCATGTTACAGATTTATACATGCATATATCGGATCTTGGTGGTGAGATTCTTGGCATTTCTTTTTCATGCACTTATGATTCAAATTTGATGAATGTATCATGAATGAATTATGATTTTAAAATTAGATGGAATGATGTTTTCAAAATACACAATTTGACCTGTAGTTATTTAAATCGTATTTTGAATTTGGCATTTGTTGTAATCTGTTTAGGAATTGTCTCATTTGGCAACATTAGAATATTTTTGTAAATAAATTATCGTGGAGTTCTGGTTCGAGGTGGGCATGAAGCTTTGGGCCCCTTTGATATGAAGTGGGATAGAATGCTAGATCGGGAAAAGGAGACCAGGGCATTCAACAAAATGGAGCAAAAATGGTTTTTCTTTCCTATTCTTATAGCTGAAGTCAAATACCCTTTTGTTTCAATAACTTCAAGCGGTTGAATTTAGATATCTATCTTTAAGCCACAAGAAATTATTTGGCACAATTATTGGATTTGAAACTGTTGAAATTTTTTAGCTTTTTTTTTTATTTAATTTAAGTTTAAAATTATCTTAATTATTAATAAAATATATGATTTGGTTTAAAAAAAATTAAGATAATTTTTATTTTTAATATTGAAACAATGACATATTAAATTGACCCAAATTTCATGGCTTAACTCTCCAAACCATCAACTTAGGTCATAGACTTCACTAGAATTAACATCTTTTTTTAAAAAAAAAATTCACTTAATGATATGATTACAAAAATACATATCCGCATAATTAAATATTAATAAAATATTAGGATGTTTATTTTAAGACTACATTAACTCATAAAAAGAAAATAAAAATAAATTAACTAAATATTGAATGATAAAATTAAAAAAAATAAAATTAATTAAAATAATTGAATGATAAAATTTAAAAAAATAAAATTAATTAAAATTAAAAAAATAAAAAATAATATTTAAAAATTAAAAAAGAAAGGGATTTGACCCAGCGGGTCATCTTTAAAATATTTCGACTTGACTCTTTGCCTAGCGTAAATTTAAAGTTAACTTATGTGACAGTTGTCTTTATATGATCTTGTCAATTTGGCAGGTTCAAAAACAACCCATATAATTGGTAAAAAAAAATATAGTTTGGATTTAAGAAAAATCAAGATATATATATATATATATATATATATATACGCTCGTGCATGTAACGAAGTATTGGATCAATCCATGTTTCACGACTTAATTTGCCAAACCCGCGATGGATTCAATCGAGTTTAACAACTTTGTTTTTTTAATGAATATTTTTTACTTAATGTCATGATAATAGAATAGGCACTCGTAAAATTAAGCACTAACCAAATATTGATATGTTTGTTTGATATTATTATAATCTTATAAAAAAATCTAAAATAAATTATGAAAACTAATTTAAAATTAATAAAATATTAATTTAATCGGAAAAAAAATGAAAGATAGAATTTAGAAAGAAAAAAAATAGCTCCTTCATTGTTCATTTAAAAAGTATAGGAAATTGGTTTTACCCTAATTCTTTTAGCATAGAAGATAAATATTTAGGTGATGCTAACTTAAAAAAAATATTTAGGTAATGCTAGTGTTTTTTAAAAAAAATAAAAAGACTCAAATTATTAACTTGAATAAATTTAATAAGCTCAGTCAATATAATAATATGATTAAAAAAGAAATCAATAATTCATAAAACAAAAAAAATTCAATAATAATTACTACAAAAAATAAATTATTAATATTATACATGAGAGGAAAAGAAAAAAAAGTCAATTTGAGACTCGTTATCACTCTCACAAAGACTTCACTACAAGAAAGTGCTCATCCTTATGGTTTTAATATCATTACAAAAGGTTCCATGACTATATTAAAACAAGTTGCATGCATTGTAAGAGCAAGGACTTAGATAACAAATAAAAAAAAATATCATAAAGTTGACATCTTATACTTATAATTAATTAATTAATTAAATTCAAAAACAAAATCTCTTTTCAAAAAGCAAAATTTAACAAAGAAAGGAAAATTAAAAAAAAAAACTCAAGATAATTTGGGTCAATTTTAAAATCAGTAAAAAATCTATAAAAATCAAATAAAAAAAACAACAAAGCTCAATCTCCAGTTAAATAAATATTAAATGATGAAACTATATAAAAAAAACTTTAAAAAGAAAAAAAAAAGTAAACCTAAGCAAGTTTTCTAAACTTGAAACCCATGAAATCCAATGTCGAGCTCAAGTACAAAGATCTGTTTCTAACTAATTTAATATTAAAGGATGAAATAAAAAAATAAATTAATTTTAAAAAATTATTAAAGTAAAAATAAATTAGCAATAAAAAAAACTAGAGGATGAAATTGTAAAAAAAATTAATTTTTAAAATTATCTTAAAAAATTCAATTTTTAAAATTATCTTCAATAAAACAAATAGAAATTAAAAGAATAAGGATTAAATTTGATAGAAAAAAATTAAAAAAGGATGAAATTGAATCCTAATTTGATAAAATATTTCAAATAAAAATAAATAGTAATCAAAAAATAAAAATTAAATTTAAAAAAAATAAATTGAAAAACTAATTTATAAATTTAAAATATTAAACATGAAAAATAAAAGGATAGAGAAAATAAAATAAAAAAAATTATCAATACCAAACTAAATATTTATTTTTTACAGCATTGGCAAAGGATAAAAGGGATGGCGAGATAATTTCAAAGCTTCTCTAGAAGCCATAATTGGATCCCTTCTTCTCGAAAAGACAATTAGATATCATCGTGATGAGATTTAAGTTAAGGTTATGTCATAATCTACAAAACAGCTAAAAGTATTACTATGGTCCATTCTTAGCAAACCTTATAATTTTATAATAGTAGCTAGACAATATTAATATTGTGATCATAATTAAAGATCATTAAAAATCTATTAGAGTATGCCGCGTAGATTCACAGTAATGGTTATTTTAATGCTTTATCGAAGACACAATACTGTAAATTAGTTATTCTTAAATAAAATTATTTTTATTTACTATATAAATTCAAAGGATACTATGCCATATTCACTAATAAAATACTTTATAAGAAAGCAAATTGATAAATCATTAAAAAGGAAATGTTATTAAAATCTATATTTAAAGAATTGCCATAAAGGGAAATCATTCATGTGATTAAAGATTTCAAAATATAGATTCAAAAAAATAATCAAATTATATATCAATTCAATAATAGCACTTTTATCTATTTTTTTTTCATAAAAAATACTATCTCTAGGATAAACTAAGTTTTTATAGCTCGAGGAATTTAAGCATGGTATTGTATGATATTTTTTTATAATAATCACCTATATGAGTTTGAAATAAAGTTATCTCTATACAAAATAAAAAGGCTAAATTTTTTAAAGTACTTTCTAAAATCATGATGTATTTAAAGTCAAAATAAATTTAACCATAAAAAATAAAATTGTAAGAAAATAAACTATATGATATCTATTGTCTAATTTCACATAAAAAGCTGAGTAATTCAAAATATTATATTCATTGATTAGTCAAAAAATTATAATAAATTTGCATTAAAAAATATTTAATACAATGACTTTTCATTGTTATTCTCTATTTGTTTTTATCTACTTTATATTTTATTTTGATTAAATAATTTTTATTCATGAAAAGAATTGTTAGAGTGTGAATGAAAAATTATTTCTATTAAAACTCAATTTAAAATAGAATTATATCCTTTAAAGTAGAAAGTTGTATCCTTTTGTTTTAAAAAATAATTTAAAATTAATTGACAAAATTGCTTATAAAAAAAGATAATTCTACATGGTTTTGATAATGAAAAAAGCTTTTAGTTTTTCTAGAACTTTTCTTTTTTTGTATTTTTTAGTCAAAATTCATATATGGAGTAACATATAAATTCTAGCTCAATGTTTATTTTTGGTTTAGCTGCCAAGTATAAAAGATTAAGTAATCTTAAGATACATTATTGTAATCACCCTGTTAGAGTACCTGAGAGCAGACAATAAATTGTTTCTATTTCTTCAAGTTTATTTTATATTAACAAATATTATAAGTAGATTTTTCTTTTAATTATTGATTTATATACATTTTTATATATTGTAGAAATCAGATCGTTATAGTAAAGAGAAACAACAAGCTTAAAATCTATTTAAAACATTACAACATTTTCAGTCCACTTGTAAATAGTCCAACAAGATAGTTCTCAACATGTTAGCCAACACAACCAACCTATAGCTCCATGGCGTATTCTATTCAAGTTGTAGATGCTTTAAGATCCCCCCCTGTCTCTTGCATTTGTCGAAGTTGAAAATCCAGGTTTAATTTCTTCTCGCTCTACAGCTAGACACAAACCATATATATGATGGCTGTTGGGTTCTTAGCTCTATTATTTCCTCTCCTCTCTTTACTGTTCTTCGGTTTCCCATTTGCCAAGCCCATAGCGGGATTCCCATCTAAATTCACACAAACAGCTGAGAAGCTCTCTCCCTCTACTCCAAATGAGCCCTGCAAAGAGAAGTTCTTCACTCAAATACTTGATGAGTTTGAGTGTATATATTTTATATAGTTTTTTCATGTATCATGACTCATAATTAAAAAAAATCAACTTTTTTTTTTGGGTTTTTGCAGTGCTGTTAGCATGGTTCAGATTGAAATATCCGCATGTCACCATTGGAGCCTGGCATCTTCTTCACCAATCCTCAACTTTGAGAGCATAACATCACACCATACAGCTTCAACAATATCATCACTCAAAACTCTAGGGTCCCCCAACTCTCTTTTTATCTCTGTTATTCATTAATTTTAAAACTGACCCCTTCTCCTTGCTGAAAGACACCAAGATATCACCATGATGAGATTTAAGCTAAGGTCATGTCATAATCTGCAAAGCAGTCAATGGTATTTACAAGGTCCAATCTTAACAAACCTTACAAATTTATAGTGGTAACTAGACGATATATATTAATAGTGTGATCATAATTGAATATTATTAAAAACCTGCTAGAGTGCGCCTAGATTCGGAGCAATGAATATTTAATGGCTGCATGGGGAAACTAAATTCAGGGTGAGAGGCAGGAGAATGAAGACACTGCAAGCCAACCTGGAGGCCTCGAAATATATACTTAGAAAGTCATTTAAAATATGCAAGTAAGAACCATAAACTTCATCATTGCAACCTATCAAAAATTAATCAATTCCTTTAATTACATTATTGGTGTCTTCTTCGTTGCAGGAACTACATTAGCTCGATCTAATTAAGGTCTAATAATAATAAAGGGATTAAAAAAAAAAACTATATTAGCGCGAATTCTCTTGAAAGTTGGCTTTATACTGCTTTGGGTCTATACAGCCATGACAGATTATCTAACTCCTTCAAATTTTTTAAGTCCCATGCCTGCTTATCCGGTTAAAGGGGTACTCATCATTGATGCAATTCAGTAAGATTAATTATAATGCTCACAAATTATTATATATATGGTTTATTTTTCAATACGAAACTTCTTTTTTGTTTAAATTACTGCATAGTAAAAATAGATTAGTTGGTTGATTTATATACAGTTAACGGTGTAAATATGGAAATATTGTTTACGGGTATATGTGCTGTATTCCAATTTTCATTAAAAAAGAGAAAACAAATTGATTATCAAAATTAATTCCAGTCAATTTCACTGTTAACTGACTAATTAATTTGAAAAAACTAATTTAACTCAAAAAATATAATAAGTGAAAAGAGATTCTAAGATATTTTTTATATTATTTTCTAACATAATCATTTAAGTAAAAAAATTTTAAATTTTAAATTTATATAGATTTACATTATCTTGTATTTAATTTTTATCAAATAAATAAAAATAATAAAATTTAAATTCATAACTATTTAATTATCAACATTCCTATACTATTTTAGCCATTACAATAGTTTTTTTGTGTTATTCGTAGATGTTAATTACAGGGGTAGAATGATGCTTGTGCAATTGTACTATGAGCCCATGACAAAAAAGCGTTTGACCTTTGCAGATGTGTAAAGCGATTGATGGTCCAAACTCGAGGGATGGAATAAATGTTGAAATTATATAGTGTAAAATTAATAGCCTATCCCTTCTCAAGTGCTACTGAATTATTGAAACTTGGAAGATAGATAATTAAGACGATCACATGAACAACAATGACATGGAAAGGGAAACTACATTCCGTGAACCATAAGGTGGTAGCATCCGAGAAATGCATTTCCACCTCGCATGGTGAAGTTTGTTCTTACCATGAATCATCACTATCATTATCCCTTTGTCTATAACGTAAAAACTGGATTTCATAAAGTTTTCGCTAATCATCTTTGCATGGCCCATCAACACAGAATGTAATTGATGCCCTTGATGAGGTCAACAATTCACCATTTTCGAGGGCGGAGATTTTTCGGGCACTAAAGGATAAGAACTCCCTCTCCGTTTTTCCAAGTTTTTATTTGTTAGGTTAAAATGCAGAAGCAGAAATTTAGAGAAATGCCTTCCTTGTTTGTTGAAGAAATAAGTTGTCTAGGAATTGATTTGCGGGCATGTAAGAGATGATAATGCCAATAGATGGTAATTCAATAAGGACAGCATATTTCCAGCTTCTGAGTGGAACTACAATGATACGGCTACTTTCTGCAGAGGGTTCTTTGGTGTTGAGCCGAGACCTAATTGGATTGCTGCTGAGTTTGGTGGCCATGTGAGTGCATCATTTTCTATAGCATGGAGGGCAGGCATGCTATATTGGTGGTAATCGTAATAATATTGCATAGTAGACCAGCATAAATCCAAATAATAATAATAATAATAATCTTGATGTATCTCAAAGCTTTAAATGACTGCTTTGAACAGGATATTAAAAGGGTCTTGAGAAGATTTGGCAGCAATTTTGTCTTCTTTAATGGCTTGAGTGACCCTTGGAGTGGTGGGGGGCATGATCTCTCTCATATTTTAATCTCTATCTTAAAAGGAACATGTGGTTATGCTGTTAAGAGATTAATATAATTTGCTTCGTGGTTATGACAGGGTGCTAGAGAATATATCCAAGAGCATATAGTTGCCATCATAGCAAAAGGAGGCCAGTGGATCAGAGATCTTTGAAATGAAGAATTTAATATAAATTATTGAGATAACTAGTTCCTGGCTACAGCATATCCACACATATATTGAAATCTACAAGTAGCATGCCCCAAATGCTCTCCCCCTTCTTTCTTTGATGGCATTCATGCCCCCTGTTTTTTTTTTTTTTTTTAATTTATCATTCTGCAAATCGCCAATGATTGGGATGCTTCTAGACAAATTATATTTTCTCGCAGGGGCTCACCATGTGGACCTGAGATTTGCAACCGGTGAAGATCCAAAATGGCTTCAAGACGTTCGAAAAGGAGAGAAAGGAGAGGTCAGCATCATTGCAGAATGGCCATGTCACTTGAATTAAAAAAAAAAAAAAAAACACGTTGCCAGGTTCCAGAGAGCGGTCAAAAGTAAATTTAGGACGTTCTTGCAACAAGGAACATTGAACCATATAGGCCCATTGGGTTGGTTAAGAGGAGTACTCTTGCAACAAGGAGCATTAAAACATACTTCGACGGTCTGGTCCAGTTGCCTATCATGACTGATATGGAGGCATATGAACCAGGATGTTTTGTTTCTATCCTGAAGATACTGAAAAACAAAAACTCCTTTCTTTTTAGCAAACAGGAGGCCGTTCTTGCACTGTTTGCATGAGAATAAATAACGTTTTATGAATAAATAGATGGTTGAATTCACCCGTCACCTTCATCTGGTAACGATTGGTAGTTGCTTGCGAAGGAAAATATGCTCCCTGGTCTGACTTCGAATGCAAGGGCTAGCCCTCCTCTGCAAAACAGAAGGGGCCTCGCCTAGTTAAAGGAAACTTTTTTTATTTTATTTTATTAATATAAATATCCAGACTAATATATATTTACTTTAACTAATTATATATTTACTCTAAAATTAATAATTATATAAACTCGTACTCATGACCATGAACCTCGCTTAGTTAAAGAAAACTTTTGAAGCAATGAGATGATGGCATATGGTTGCTGCGGGAGGAGGAATGTCTGCTTGGTAATTGGATATGCATGGATAAAAGCCCAACTGTGACATGAATGTCCTTTTCAAATTGCTTCGCAATCTTTTTCTAAGTTAGGGCAAGAAAAAGACAGGTCAGTCCACCATTCAGATTTTGGAAATGGAGGTTTGGTCACTCGAAGGCACTTTGAAAGTGCAAGTCGTGGATAGTTGCAGTTTGACTTGAGAAACATCAGGAATCTCAACCATTATTACAATGCCAACAGATACTCAGTGGGATTGGAAATGTGATATAAATTATGTTTTTAAAAATTTTAAATTTTTATTTATTTAAAATAAAAAAATTTATATTTTAAATTATTTTTATATGCTAATATCATAAATAATTTTTAAAAATAATTTTTTTTGATATATTTCTATATAAAAAAACACTTTGAATTATTATCATTACTATAATCTAGATAAATTTTAAAACTTCGTAAACATCGTTGCATCCTTGATGATTTTTTTATTTTAGTTTTTATATCCAAATTAATAACTAAATTATTAAAATTCCTTGAGGAAAGAAAAAAATTCAATAATAAAAAATCAAAATGTAAAACAATGAAGAATTTCATGGATAATATCAAATTTGCTAGAAAAAGTTATTTCTGTTGAGTCCACTTGCTTTCCTTTTTTTTACTATGAAGTCTTTTTAGATTTTATAACTTTAATTTTGATCCAAATTTTTTTTCTAACATTTTAGTATCTAAGTTTAAGAAAAACAATCATCTTAAAATAACAAAAGAGAGAAGGGCAGTGAATGGCTACTTTTTACAAATGAAACTCATAGTTTTTTATATAAAATATTTTTTTTTTTAATAAGAACAATTCAATGATGGAGTTTTTTTCTTTTTCTATAAACATGCTTGACAATTAGATTAGATTTCATATAGCTTTTGTTTTTGGTTGATTTTTTTTTAGTAATATTAGAGGCTTGGTAGGTGATCTATAGATGTTTTAATGGTGTTTTAAAAAAAAAAGTAAACTAAAAATAATTTTTTTTAAAAAAAATTTACTTGATTTTCTAGTCATTATATAGGTGATAAGTTGCCTTTCAAGAAGCAACTAGTTGCTTGTTTAATTAAAAAAAATTAAAAGGATGTCATCTACTGCTCCTGACATAAAGATTAAAAAATCTAAGTGAGGATTGATTTTTTATTAAAGCATGTGAGTCTAGTTCAAATAATTAGTTTGATTTGTTTATTTAAAAAAATAAAAATAAAAAGGAAAATTAGTCTAAAATAATATTAAATTATAGTTATCAATTGTTCTTGAGTTATCAATTCATATATACTTTTTTAATTTATTTTATAAAGTATAAATACTATCTTTTTGTTTCTTAATTAAAAAATATTAAGAATTGAACTTTTTAATTTATTTTATTTACTTTCTATAAAGTTATTGCAGTTTCGAACAAACGTTTTGTCATTAGGCTATTATTAAGCATCAATTTTTTTATCATGTAATAAAAAAAAGTTTCATGAAAAAAAGTTGTAAAACTCAATAGAGTTTATGACCTGAGTCGATCTAATATGTTACATTCTTAATGTTTTGTTTTTTAAATATGTCTTTTTAGGATTTTTTTACAAAGTCAAATTATGTTTTTATTAGTTGTTTGAGTTCCTTTGAATGAGCCAAGTTGATTAGGTCATGTCAGATAACTCTCAAAACATTTCATTTTGAAGTATGAGTTAGATAAAAAGTCAAGTCAAGAAGTTTCAAGATTGATCCACCAAACCGAGTTTAACGATATTGTCAAAAAAATTTCAGTTGCTTCGACATTTTTTTTAAATTAAAAAATCTTTTGATTTGACATACAAAATAGTGCACACATGAGATAATTATCTAATGGACTAGGCTAAATTACTAGTCCATTAGCTCGTGCTTTGCTGCGAGTATGACCAACTTTTTTGAATGTAAAAGAAAAATATTAAGAGTATGGAGAATTTTTTGATAATATTATTAAATGTGATCAAACAAGTCAATCTTGTAAACTCGCAACATAACTTTTTTTCCTAACTCGAGTTTTTAATTAAACCGCATGAGAGCTAATTCAACTTAAATTGATTGATTTCATAAATCCAAATGCAATCTTATTTAGTTTTTATATAAAAAATTTCAAAATAACAAAGTCTTCTATTTATATAATAAAAAAATAAGACAAAGATTGAAGATTTTATTAATGATCTCTAACTAAACTAAAAAATTATATGAAGTTCAAGCAATAACTACCTCTACTTATAAGAATAAAATAGATAAACGATAAACAAAACCCTAAAGGGTATAGCTCAAATGGTCAGGTCTTGAGTTTGCTTTTCAGACGTTTCCAGTTTGAGTCCCATAAATCTCAGGGCTACTGAAGGCTTACTTGATCGTTAACTTTAGAGCTTTAGGGAATTAGTTGAGGTGTGCATAAACAGACCTAAACACCCACTGTTACAAAAAAGAGGAGGAAGAAAAAGAGATAAACATAAAAAAAATCATATTTATTATAGAATGTATACCATGTATATCTCTGAATAGAAAATTAATGTAGGATTATTCCAATGTTGTAATCCTTATAGTTACTATCGTGTTCTACCATACATATATAAATAGAAAAGGTTGGCTAAGGCCAACCTAAGTTATTATATTATTCTTAACTTGGTATCAGTGCCTTAAATAAATTAAAACACCTCTTCTCCTCTCTGCAATGGATTCCTCCCAGTCAATAGCCATCTCTCCCTCTATAGAAACATTGGTGGTGCCATCTTCCTCCCCTGCCGCAACACCACCTTCTTCTTCAGCTTCTGTTCTGCAGTGGCCACAACCTCCAAATGTTGGCCATGCTATTTTCAACCCCAATAATACTCCTTTATTGCTGCCCTCTTCTGCTAAAGCCATTGTCGCTTCTGCCATGACAATTGTGTCTCTCTCCCACACTCATCAGGTCATCTCTTTGAAACTAACAAACACTAATTATCTATATTAGTGAATGCAGATGAAATCATATCTTCTAGGCCAAGGAGTTTTTGATTTTGTTGATAGTTCAAACTCCTGCCCCTCTCCACATATTCCTGTCGTTGATGGTGTCTCTTTTTAGGTATCATAACACTTTCTTCGTTGGAAACAACAAGACCAACTCATTCTAAGTGCCTTACTCTCTTCGCTATCCATGGAAGTTCATTTTGTTGTTGATTGTCCAACCTCATGCTCTGTCTGGCACATAATTGAGCAAGCTCTAGCTTCCATATCTAATTCTTGTATTATGCAACTTCATGGCTCTCTTTAAAACCTTTGACAAGGTGATGAATTGGTAACTCAATTTCTTCAAAAAGCTAAGGCTTTATTTGAAGAGCTAGCAGTTGCTGGCCAACCTATTTCTCTATCAGAACTTAACTTATATTTGTTTCGTAGCCTTCACTAAGAATTTAAGAACTTAGTGACAAGTTTTGTTACAAGGGTAGATCCTCTTTCATATGCAGATTTGCTTAGTCATCTGCTAGCACATGAATTTATTCATAAATCCTCCCATTTGTCCATAGGATCTGCTACAATTCATGCACTTTTGTTGCCTACGCCAAACATCCCTCCTTTAGCACTTATCTCTCATCGTCACCCTGCTACCTAGTTTGGTCAAAATAGGGTTGTTTTAAGAGCAGCTGACATCCTTAATAGTTCAATCATAGAGGGCATCACAATTCTAGTTCTAGAGCTGACTTTCACAGCGTCCACAACACTCCTAGTATTGACAACAGACATAGCAATTTCCATGGAAATTGGTAGCGCAGTAGGGGATCTAATTCCTGCTGCCAGTTGTGTCAAGTTTTCAAACATACTGCTCCTCAGTGCTCCTAACTTCAGCAATGTGGTTATGGTCAGTAGCATAGTGCCAATCTAGCACTATACAATCCTACATATACTGTTGAATGGTTTTTGGACATCGGTGCAAATCAACACATCACACCTAACCTTGCAACCTTAATTGCTTCAAAACCATACAAAGGTAATGATAATTTTCATGTTGGTGATGGTAAAGGACTTTCCATATCTCATATTGGTCATACCAAACTATATACCTCACATCTTTCTTTCACTTTATCTAATGTCCTGCATGTTCCTACAATTACAAAACTTTTGCTTTCTATTTAGAAATTTTATCTCGATAATAATGTTTATTTTGAATTTTATCCTTTTCATGTTAAAGATATTAACACTAATGCAGTACTCCTCTTAGGATAGAGTAAAGATGGTCTTTATACTTTGTTCAGGTTTAGGTTTTCTGTCACGTCAGTTC